TTCTACAACAGTAAATAATTATTATTTATAAATATTTCGTTACATGGTAGCAATCCAATCATCTAAAATTGAATATAAAAGAAAGAATACCTTGTACAATAGAAAATTGTAATCTTTAATGTAAAAAGAGAAACCCCGTACGCCTTACAGAATAACGTTTTTCAAATTCTTTCGACACAATTTACTATATATTTAAAATTTATCAATTTCAATGACCAATTATTAATACAGAATACTCTTCATGTAAAAATTTTTGATTATTTAGCATTATAAATTTGATGCAAAGAGAAATGTAATAGATAACGTACAGCTAACTTACCATATTGGTGTTCTTAACCAAAAAGGCACAGGTAGTTCAATTCCTCGATGGAGCTACAAAAATCTGGTTGAGTACACCAACATATTTCTAACAAAACGTTCTCATTCCTACTACCCAATCCTAAAAAACCGCATGACTTTCTTGAAGACTCTTTGTAAATAAAAATTTTTTTCTAGGGACTTTACTCCTGAAACGAAAGTGCCCTACATAGTACAGGTATGGTGACAAAAAACGATATTCGATTCTAAACTATCGATTCTTTCACACAAACCTATCGATTATTTTCATTTATATCAATTTTTATTATTCTGAATTCCTAAAATTGTTTTAATAAAATGTGCAACTAATAGAACTAGTTCTAAATGTACAAATTATTTAAAAATGCTTACAGATCTTGCATTAAGTTAAATTAATATGATAGGAGGTTTGATTATTATAAATAAAAATATCTTTGTTGATTTCTTGTCTCAAAAAACCAACAAAAACGTATAGTTTCATATTTGAAAATATAAGGGTTGATATTAACATTGCAAATGAATCTTCCGAAAATAATGCAACAAATCATAGAAAAGAAAAATCTATTTGGATGATGGAAAGAGAGAACTATTATTTAAGCCGATGGAATAAATATGCAAGAAACAATTTTGGAGGAAAAGATTACCATTGCCATAAATATCAGTTCATCCAGTATTTTATTAAAAATATACATTAATTTACTCCTTTTGCTGCTAATCTCTTGTCACGTTCTTCCGCAATGGAAAGCTTGACACCTTTATCTCTCGGCAAACTGATATATGCCTTCAGACCTTTGCCGATGATAAATACGTTGTTCAACCTACGTAAATTCTTCGTTATTAGAAATTGTTCATATAAAATAAATCCATTMTGCATTTGTATCTTTCGTGAGAACAAATTAGTGACCATAAAAAAAAGATTTCATTTAACCACGTTGAGTACTAATAGTCTTATAGCAGATACAATAGCTTCTCACCACGTGGCTAAATTAAAATAATTCATTTAAATGCATTAACGTACCTAGTGGTAAAAACGTGCCCTTG